TACTGAGTAGTCAAAGATGATTTATTGGCGATCCCAAGTTTAATTCTCATCAAATCTATCATGCTGACTCAAAAGTGACGCATATACAGCTGTAAAGCCTTGCATCATTGCAAAAAATTACAAATTCTACTCAGCTGCAGACTCAATTCAAGGAAAGAAATCTCTGTCGGTAACTGAGCTTGTTATTATTTATTATAAAATCTCAACACACATTTTACGTGATATCCTGGACAATTTAAACTTCTAAATCCACTTTCAAAATTATTCAGCATTGTTTCAAGACCAGTTCAATTGACGTCTAGACCAGCTTAATATCTTTTAATCTTTGACTAATTACCAAACTTGTATTGAATTAATAAAATATTTAATTTGAATATTTTAGGGAAATCTACATTACTCAATCGCTCAAAGAAAAATTCATTTCCATTCTCTTTTGTTGCTATTATAATATCAACTCACAAACATTGAGTCCACAAAGCATGAAACGTTTGCTGTGCTGGGCTTAAAAACACTGAAATGTAATTAATGTAATGAATATTTATTATCAATTTGCTTATTCGTTTCCGAATACTTTAAATCCATTCTATTAACACAGCAAACGTACGTCTTCGACCAACGCGATTAGCTTTATTTTTGTGCTTGGTACTTTTGATGCGGATAAGTCTTGTAATTCCACATAATACTCACACGCATGTTTAATATGAAAATTAAATAAAAACTCATAGCTCAATTATTTATTTACCAATAGACTATTCATGCTCGTACACCACATTCAGGTCTAATTGATGGTGTGTGCCTTTTTTTTTCAATGAAAGGCGGCTGTGAGAACGAATTTGTTGTTTTGTTTGCCATTTTTGCACAACAACTTGACCCTCACTTAAGAATAAATGTTTGATTTACTTTATTGTAAGTTAATTAAAGTCTCTCTCGTTTTTCACGTCAGTGACACCCAAAACTATTAGCATAATAAGAGATTGTTGCGGTCATGACTCTTTTGGCTTCTTTTTCGTATATTAAAACTTTAACTTCATTTGCATAAAACGCGATGACTCATAAAATGAGATTCAAGTTGAAGAAAAGCGATTGAATGTAAAAAAAAGTTTTTAATCAATTTTACTTTGCCACTTTTTCAGTCTGTTCTGAGCTCATTCAATGAAGTAAGAAGCTATTCTTGATGATGTCTTGAGCACCAGTCTTTATTTAAGAGATTTTGTCTTTTATTATTTAAGATTGTCATTTTTGGTTGTGGATTCGAATGTTTTCGTCAGAATTTGAAGGTTGTGGGTCGGTGCTACTAAAAAGACCCTGTGGCACTTCATAAAATAAGACTAAGTTGTATATGTTAGGTTATACTCGACAAACTGGTCACAAAAGTCAGTTTTGTCACTTTTAACATTTAGTCCACAACATATCCTGATAAAATTATTAAAATACGCAAAAAATATTCAGAACGTTGGGTATTTTACGATCTTCCAAGAAAGCCACCTTGAATAAAATCTCACAAAAATTCATCTCAAGGATTAACCTTTCACAAAAGATGCTTCAATTCTTATGAGCACACAAATTGAATGACTTGAAAATTTTCCCCAATTTAAGAAACATAAAAATTGATGACTAACCACTTAAGAGAGTATTACACATCGATTCTCATATGCTATGCCACAAAGGAGTAAAATAATTACCAAACAAAATATTCCCAAGACACGAAAGATTCAAATTGATTAATAGATCTTCAAAAGAATCCGCTCAACTTAATTACAAATTAATTTAATTTAATCTTGACATTTTAATACAGATTCATATGGCAACGAACTCTGAATTTTTTTTAAATCAAATTTGACCTCTCGGATATTGTCGCAGCACTGGGAATTGAGCTTCTGATATTCTATAATTCAAGGATTAAAATATTATTCAAGTCTTGATTGAAACTGAAAAATTTCCATTCAATGCAAAACTCACAAAAAAAGCTGCTGACTTGAATCGCTTTTGACACGAAACAAAAGTCAAAAAGAAGCGGCAAATTCACATGAGACTCTATGGCACTTGGTTGACAAACTGTTTATTACGATGACTAAGCCCTATGACAAGTGATTAAATTTTTTTAAGGCCATAAGCTAATGAAATCTAATCGTTTTTCATTTTTAACATAATAAACACCGTGGAGAACTTGTTGTCTCATCATCATAAACAAGAATCTTTAATTTTTTTGTGAAGCAGTTTTTAAGGGGAAATGTGTTGAGTTGTGTGAATGGTTTGACTTGGATTTAGAAGATCTAGGAGGTACACGTAGAGTGTGGATCTTTTATTTGATTTAAATATTTATGGAAATCTAGCCCGTAAAGATCAAACTTAGAACTGCGCTTAAAACCTCTTAATTATAAATTTATATTCTAACTCACCATCCACTTGCTTTGCTGGCGATTTCTTGTCTCATCTGAACAATCGTCTTCAAAATAAAATTAAAAAATTTAATCAATGACTCTTCTTTACACAATCGGTATATTTCCATAAGACCATACAGGTGTTACCAATGATAAGTTTGTGTTTCGACAAACAAAAATAAGAGTTTTCAATGTCGATGACGTGAGAGACGAGTCTTCTCTCTCTTTTGATAGAAAATATGCAAATTGAAGGTTTGTGGTTAATTTAATAAACAGATAAAGTCATTGGCATATGATTTAAGAGAATGTTGTGGAAAATCAACTTTTAAAAAGGCAAAATTATTTACATTTTGTTATTTTAAGTGGCATCGGATTAAAAAGAAATAGAAAACCGGCTAATTTGTGTAAATTTAATAAATTTTAACATAGATAAAAATTGTAATTTTAAATTAAAATTCAACTTTTTTTATGCTAGTCATTAGACTTAGTTCCCACAATCGTCGATGTCTAAATGATTGTCGTCTGTAAGGATTAGAAAGAATAAAAAATCTTCTTACACGTGTCTGTGAATCGCAGATTAGAATTCATTTGTTTATGAATCGAAAGGTGAATCACGACATTAAGAATATTGGCAGAAAATTCATAAAATCTTAAGGTTTACGTGCAAAAGTTGAAAATATGTTTGAATAAAATATATTCGAATTTTAAACTTTAAGTCAGATTTGATGTTGAAGATTAAAATATTTTTGTATTTTTATTGTCGTTGAGAATTATGGGATGAAAAATTGAGGTTAGACTGGGTAAAGTCTTTCATATTTGATGACTAGTATGAATGTTGGCATCTTCAAATGCTCATCCAAATAGATTTACAGCTTCGTTGTGCTAGACACAATTTGTAAAACATCTCAAAATTCCTCACAAAAATCTCCAAAAGAGTCCAAAAACCCCATAAAAATTTATCTCACCAACATCCCAACCTTTAGATCAGTAACAAGCTATCAATATCCACCAAAAATAAACTTTCATCATTTGTCAATCATTTCCACACCAATTAGGAAACAGCAAACATTTCCATTTACATTACAACAATGTCCATTAAGGTCTATCGACTCAATAAATAAGCACCGCTAAATCTTCTTTTGAAATAAATAAATCAACAATAGATATACGACAGAAAATCATTTCTTCATCATCAGTCAATTGACTTTGACACGGAAAAAAATGAATTTTTAAATTTAATCAGCTTTAGTCTCAAAAATCATTCATCAATCTTGCTCTTGTGCTTTATCCTATCTGAACTTAAAATGCGTATAAATTGCGTAAAATCTTTTTCGGTTATTTATTTTATCTTTTGCAAGTCGCTGTCGTTTGGAAACTGATAAAAAGAAATAAAATAAATTATGAAATATTTTAATATCGAAGATGAAATTTCACAAAAATCTTATTTTTTTATTTCGATGTGAAAGATAAGAAATATTTTTTTAAATAAATTAAACAAGATATTTTTTATTAATCCTGAGTGATTTATTTTTACAAGACTTTTTTTTCTTGTGTTTTTGTTTTGACTTTGGGTTGTCTTGTTGACATGTTTTGTGCTGTTCTTAGTTTTTAAGAATCAAGATAAATTTTATGAATGAATCGAGTTGAGAATAAATGTAAGAATTTCTTGACCCGAGTAGCTTTAACGACAATCATGACACTTGGATAGGCTGTTCAACTGTGGGAAATTTTAGCGGAACAGACTCGCTTTTTTGAACAAAGTTGCGACTAAAATCCTTATTTCACTTATGACGTCCGAAATTAACGGTCATTTTTCAAAAAAGAACAATGGATTTCCAGGAATTTCTATTGTTCTTTTCTTGCTGACCCCCCCCCCCCCCCCCCCCTCCTCGATTTTTTCAGTAGTACTTTTGCCCAGTGGTACTTTTCCCTTATCGATTGTTTGCTTCGAGTATTTGCCGAGTTGCTTCTTCGGGAGATCAATGAGGAAATGTCAATGGGCAAATGAACAGTGGAAAAATGTCAATAAGCAATCGTCATGATCCCATTTTTCTTGCAGAATGCTTCTCTCTGTAAAGCTTTTTCAGAGCTGAAATTCAGGCATGTCCTGCTTTTTGACCAAAAATCTGCAAAAACCGATGGACAGGTTACAAGATTTTAATAGTCTAAAACTCAAAACTTAGTAATCAAATCAATACTTTAACATCTTTTTAAGAAATTCAAAGTTAAATCACAACAACCTTAATAAAATTCATTCAACACTCGGGAAAAAAAATCAAAAAAACACAATCTATCAATAAATTCTGTTGAAAACTTAATTCCATTAAAGAAAAAAAAATGTTTAAAAATATTTATTATTTCAAAATCAAATTTTGTAACCAACGTTTAACATTATCGACACAGTTTATCAACATTATAGCTAATAAATTATTGATATTTTTATCTTTTCAGATTTTTGAAGCTCATCTTCTTCTTTATTTTTCCTTCCTTTCACTGCCCTTCAACTGCCGAAGCCTAAACACCCCTGCGATCATAGTGAAGTAACAAAACTAATCTCAACTCACACGTATAGTGTGCAGCTTTTTATTATCAAGACCCCGCAAGACACAGACCAGGAAAATGACGAAACTTGCCATATATTTTGTAACATGGATTTCTGCTTGTGTAACACTTGCAGCAACACTACCAGACGTGAGTAATAATTTTCTCTTTTGTTGTTGTAAGCATAAGAGTTGATAATAAATACTAAATCATGATAATTTGATAATAAGCCTAAAGCTCGCTCCACTGATCTCGAAATGTAATTTTTATGTGCCACAGTTGGAAAGGCTTTGAAAAATCAGAATTACAAAAGAAATTAAAAATATTCTGCCACGCTTTATTGAGGCTCAAAAAAATCATAAATTAAGCTTATGAAATCATCATTTTTTGCAATATTATGACAATCATTTAGCAAAGCTCCCCAAAAAAGTCTTTTTATGGCAAAAAAAATGTGATGGATTAAAAATTTTATGTCTATGGACGTGCAGAGGATCTCTTTGATTTAATGTGAAGTCATGACGATTTAATTAGCTAAGTCTCTTAAAATTTTGATTAGGTTAAAGATTTCTTGAATACTTAATCAAGAATTTGGATAAACTAATTGTTATTTATGCGTCTAACAAGTTTTGGGAATGACTTGAAGTTTTTTTGGTATAAAAAGTGTATGTTATGTGCTTATAAGAATCGAGTTGTTTCGATATGTCCATTTTTGTTGGCAAGAATGTATTGATTGTAAAATTTCAAAAGTTCCGGGGTTTTTTAAATAAAGATTTATGAATTTTTCGACATTATGGCTAGTGGCTGTAAACTGCACATTTGAGGCTCTTTCAAACATTCCTGAGATTCCTATTAATCGAGTTTTTGGCTCGTATCTGGGAATTTTTGTGATTTTCCAACAAGCTCAGAAGTTCTTTTTCTTCTTCGATGACCTTACAGATCAATTGTGATCTATGGCCTCCCTCAGATGCCGCCTAAAACTGGCTCTATCGCTCAGAAGTTATTTGATCTTAATCGACACATTTGCTGTCCACAAAGTTATTAGTCTGCATTTTTAGAACCGATAAAATTAGTAATTGTCTTAACATGTCTCGAACAATTGGATAGAAAAAAAATAAAATAAAGCCAACACTTCATAAGCTTCTGCTGATTTATTCTGAAATAATAAATTAATGCTGCATTTTATTATCTTAAAACCCGATTCTGATGTTGCTGACAAGTTTTGATCAAAAATTCTAGAAAAATTCTCAAGCATCTTTAGCACAGATTTTTGCATAAGCACTAAGCACTCTAGAATGTTGTTGTATTTATAGTTTCAAAGATGTCATATTTAATAAAGGCGAGTCTGTGAGATAAGCACGGTAATATTGTTATAAGCCTGAAATACTTGACAGTCGCGAGAATAAAATTTGCTGTAGTGGGCTCCAATGAGACGTTATTTCTAATTTATGGTTCACTTTATTTCTGAAGTTTATTAATGAAGCAGAGTTGAAGCACATTGGTGGTAAATTTCTTAAAATTGTTGCCATTTTGTGTTGCTTCCGGTACAGAAGAGGCTTTGTAGCAAATTTCTCAACTTATTTTTTTTATACAAGACCCCCATCAGGACTATCTTTTAAATAATTTTCAGAACCTACAACTCGTTCCTCACAACATCTTCATCTCCTTGAAAATTACCATAAAATTGGTAGTTTCTAGCGTGTAATATTTTAGAATTAATTTTAATACAGCAATATAATATGAACATTTTACTGTGGGAATCAAAACTAGACTAAATGTGATTATGTTATCTAAATTTATTCACAAAAAGCTCTACACATTTCAGTTCCGAAATAATATTAAACTTTTTTGTTGTGTAAAAAATTTATGATTGAAGAGAATGACAATGCTGAATGAGGTTTTGTATGCTGTTGATGGAGCAAGACCAGCATTATTATTAGCATGTGGTGATTTCTTGTAAATTTAATGATAAGTGTAGGAATAATGATTGTTGTGTGGTGACCAGGAAATTTTACAACATCGCACAACGATTATGAAGAAGGTTGGAAGGGCTACTTACTGACAAAGTACCAAATAATTGAAATATTTGACGTTTTAAACTTCAATTTGACTTTAATTCAATTAGATTCACCTGACCTATGATAATCATGTGCCAATTTAACCAAATTTGCCTCAAACATCTCTCAAAACCTCTAATTCATCTTCCTGCATTCATAATTTTCACAACTTACCTAACAATCATCATTACTATCTCTTGCCTACTCACTTTATTACCATGAAAAGTCATATCATTCACATCAATTTTGCAATGTAAAGACCTCATCACTGCAAGTCAACAGTTTCAAATAGATGAAATCTCATTAAGAAGCTCCTTAATGACAGTCACAAGTTTAAGCATGAAAAGACCTGTTTTGTCAATTTTCTTTCCAATAATTTAATCTCAAAGTTCATCACTTCGTCATGCCATCATGTCGATAATAATAGTTGTGCCAAATAGATCCAAAAATTACTCTTACCCCGCAAATCTTCCAAAATGAAATATCAAAGAAGAAGTTCACCTGTTGCCAAATGTCATTCGACATGAGCATGAAACATGAAAGGTACAAGACGAAATGAGAGTAAGAAGAAGAAGAAGCAGTCCATTTCACAAAGGAGAGGAGAGAAGAGCATATAGTCGGCAAAAAGAGATGAATTATTATCAGCGTCAAGGTCGTGGCTTGTGCCACATATGAGAGAGAAAAAGATGTTTAAGAAGTAGCACAATTTTTTTTTCAATAGTAGCAGATTATTATGAGGTTGATGGGTTCATTGTGGGCACTTTTGCCTTTGAATGGAGCATTAGTTAACGTTGATTATGTCATAAGAGACTCATTGTGTTTTTTTTTCGATATAAAAGACCGTTAAATTTGAAACCTGTTTAAGTTTAAATTTGAAAAAGCCGTTAAAATTTGAATTTTGAAAAAACTGTTAAAGCTAGATTTATTCAAGTTCATGATACAAGTCCCTCAAAAACCAATACATGCTGGTGCATATATAATTTAACAACTTTATTCAGTATGCGTGCGTTCATTTCTCCACCTTTTTTTCCTCAAAAACCTAAATCAAAATTTTATGAGTATAAGCTCACGTTTAGATGAAATATCACTTGAATAAATTATGCAAAAAATATTATTATTATTTTTGATCTAATCTATTACTTCCCATAAATTTACATAAGTTGGGATTTTTTTTTTCACTCAACTTGAGAGAGTGAAGATGGCGTGCCCACATGCAAAGAGTTTGCTCATGTGTTTCGCAAATAGATGATGAAAAAAAGGCAAAGTGCACGTCAGGCACTTAAAAAGTAATAATTGTTACTTCTTTTTTATATAACCTGACAAAAAACTTTGAAAGAAAATAAATTTTTACGGTGATTTGACATTAGCTGTAGTCAGGCTATATAAGAAAGACATTTGTGCTTATAGTCAATTAGAAAATTAGGTTTGTGATGACATTTAAACTTTATTTTTGATATTTTCGAGATGTGACAATACCTTCATGAGCTTTCCTTTCATTCAACTTACAATCTTGTCCTCAATTAACAAATGAACGTGCTGACACACAAAAAATAGTCTGCAGACAGTTTTTCATAAAATATGATCAACCGCTAAATCATCCTCATCATCACAATTCGCAGCTCATCAACATAATCTTCACATAAATTTCGTCTGAAAATACATAAGTAGAAAAAATTAAGTTTCGCCAGTCCATTTAAGATTTTAAGGCACATAAAAAATGGTCAAAATAAAAATACCGGTCAGATGTACAGCAGTAAATGGATATGATTCATAATTTATAAGTCACGTTTCGTATCAGTAAATGGCAATCGTGTTCTACATACAAATTAAGTCATGAAGTGGAATGTTGAATATGATGCGGCTTAAAGTGAAATTTTGAATATAGAGGAGGGGGTGGGGGGTCTAGTTTGAGCAAAACTTGATATAATTCTGAACTTTGAATCTTTGGTCTTGAGGCCACTTGAGGCATGGCCTAATGTAATATATGAGAACCATACTTTCTCGAAATTAATGAAAAATCGGAACTTTCGGAACTTTTTGATTCTGCTGATGTTGAGAAAATCGTCAGTCACTCGATATATAGTCCTCCAATTAGACCCCTTACCAGGCGCGTAACCAGGGGGAGGGGGGTGATTTATGAAAAAATCATAAAAATCCCCCCCCCCTTTCCTCTGAATTTTTCATAAAAAATTTTTTTTGTGAACCCCCCCCCCCTGTTCAAATTCCTGGCTACGCACCTACTCCTTACTAATCTTATTTTAGTCTATCTACATAAAAATATGTTTTAATAAATTACTTTCAGATTAAAATCGAATCAGCTCATAATTTTCAATTTCAAAAGAATGTCAGCAGCAGACATTTATCATGAAATAAAAAAAACTTGTTAAAAAATTAATTCATTATTTGCTGTACTACTGTTCAATTCAGCAACTATTGTAAATTAACTCAGAACACAGGAATGAATTTTTTCTCTCGCGCAGCTTTTTTGACAGCAAAGATTTATCATAAGCTCAATAAATTTAGCAATAATAAAAAAAAAAACTGGACAAAGCTGAATAAATACATAATTAATATCAATTCAAAACAGCATTAATAATTCACATCAATAATGTTTTTCCAACAACAATAAATACAAACCTTATTTTAACACCTCTTGCGTGTCCATAAAAAAGTTGACGCTAGAAAAAAAAAATCTCTTTCATATTTATTTTCATTAAAATAAATCATTTCATTATCGTCAATGGCATTTCGAATTTATTTGATTAATTTTATTTATCTAGCCATTTATAGGCAATGTGATAATGATCGTGATTTCCACTCGCCTCAACAATCTCTGACAAAGCAGATAAAAATTAAATTAACGTGCAGAACATTGAAATTAAGAATTGAATAATTACATCTAATTACATATTTAATAATCCTTGAATTATAATAGCATTTTTGAGATTGATCTCTATATAATTTCTACATTAACCTCTCATCATCACAATTGCTTCATTGGTTAATTGGAGATAATCGAGTAAAAGCGAAAGGTAATGAGCTTGTTTGGTGGAAGTTCAATTGAAAGTGAATCTTGAGGGGTTTGTGGAGATGCAA